GAGTGAGGCGGGCGGAGACGGCGGGACGGACAGTGGGCGGGGGGGGGGGGGGGGGGGGTCCAAATAAAGGTCATGGCTGTCTCTTTAAGGCCAGAGAGCAGCTGATAAGATCAACAGTCTGTATATATTGACCACACAGTTAACAATGTTGAAAAGTGTGTGTGTGTGTGTGTGTGTGTGTGTGTGTGTGTGTACAGTGCATGGACCATGTGTGTGTAGAATATGTGGAGGACGTTTAAATACTCTGACACTTTTGAGTTCTACTGTCAGGAGTCAGGAGTTTGACACAGTGTGGTGAAAAAAACGTGTACAAATAAAAGAACAAACGGCAAAATATTCATGGATTCAATTATACAATTGAGTTTAATCAGAATAAAAATTCTAAATGTCAACAGCCTCTTGAGATCTCTGGATGTTTACAGACTCTAAGACTTTATGACATTTGCTTCATACCCCATCTGCCTCTAGGTGGCATCCGACCTGGACAGGCTGTAGCTACAGCCATATCTTATTTACCAGGAATTTTAACCCCCCACAATTAAAATGTCAGCTTTTGATTTTAAATTTCTCAAAATAAATATTTATTTACATGTTTTTATTGTGTAAAAAAAATCCCATAAAAAAAAAACTCCATCCCACCATCACATTTTTTAGCTTGTGCACCCCCTAGTGGCCACTGTCTGATCAGATAAACCTGTTATTAGAAACAGTGGGGCTCCAGTCGAAGACCTCGTTTACTGCCCTTCACTGTCCACACCTTCTGACAGAGAGGAGAAACTCTACTTCTGCGCGTGGAGCAGACAAAGGGCGAACTCTCAGACTCCTCTCGCTCTCCTGACAGGCTGCTTGTCAAACGTGTCAGTCTGGTACCTCAGCTTGATGCCAACGATCTCACCAGTCACTTCAAAGCCTCCAACACTTACAAATCTTTAACCTCTAGTCAAAAAAAATAAAAAAACCCAAGAGGAGCCGCTGGTTTCTCTCCCTGTGTTCTGGGGCTGAGAAACGGAGCGTAAAGCCGTTTAAAACGCCACATGATTGTGTTTGCACAACGTGTCCCCGTGTACTCACACAGCGTGCGGCTCTTTGAACTTGCCGACCTGCTGAATCTGATACATGAGATCGCCGCCGTTGATGTACTCCATGACGAAATACAAACGGTCCTGGGGAAAGACAGAGGATGAGAGGCCGAGCGGTCGAATGACAGAACGACAGAAGTCACACAGGAAGTGGAAATGTGTTGATAAGAGATGAAAGAGGCAGCGGGGGGGGGGGGGGGGGGGGGCCGCGATCGGCCGCCGTCTGTGGCTTCAATCGCTCTTTAACCGAAGGAACGCGGCAGCACCAATTTATGAGCCAATTTTTCCCCATTACCCACTGAAATTGCCAATAAAGTGCAGTATGTGACATGTTGGAGAGGAAGGGGTTTAGTCTGTGTGTGTGTGTGTGTGTGTGTGTGTGTGTGTGTGTGTGTGAAAAATATTGTTGGGACTTTAATGTGTCTTTGTGACTGAGTGTGAGAACAAGCTCTGCTGCAACGCCTGAAAAATCCTACCAGCAGCTTCTCTCTCTCTATATGGGCTCCACGTGTTTTGCATGTATTAATAAAAGTGTGTGTGTGTGTGTGTGTGTGTGTGTAACACATTCACGTACTGTACTACACATATGTCTATGCATGAATGCAATAATTGCCTGTATGTGTAGCGCTGGCTGCTAAATCCTATATGTACCAGAGCCAGGTCAAGGAATTAGTGCCAAGGAGGATTAACACACACACACACGTCCACACGCACACTAAATGTGTGTGTGTGACAATTTTTATTTGTTTTGCTCTTTAACCTCAATTTTCCAGCTACACTAATTAATGAAAGCCTGAATGTAAACAGGCTTGAACTGTGGATGAGGCCGTGGCCTGGCCGCTGTTCACGCCACTGTTAACGCTTCATTTTTATGGATTATACGTCCACAGATCAGCCTGCGTGTGTGTCTGTGTGTGTGTGTGTGTGTGTTGTGGTGACAGCAGGCAGGGGCGGCTGCTGCTCTGACCACAGCAGTGCTGCTGTGCAGTACAGCAGGACGCTGCACCAGCGCTCAGGTCTGATGTGAGTCTGTAGATGCTGTCGTTTCATCTCACTGCTCCGTGTCTGCACCAGTGTCTGCACCAGTGTCTGCCTGCACCAGTGTCTGCACCAGTGACTGCACCAGTGTCTGTCTGCCCCAGTGTCTGCACCAGTGACTGCACCAGTGTCTGTCTGCCCCAGTGTCTGCACCAGTGTCTGCACCCGTGTCTGTCTGCACCAGTGTCTGCACCAGTGACAGGCTGGTGTCGTCACGTGAGTGGACCAAGGGTCATGTGGCAAAATGGTCTGTGGTGGTGCAACACCTACATGTCATTTGAATTCCAGGAGTCCCCTTCTGCACCAGTGTCTGCACCAGTGTCTGCACCAGTGTCTGCACCAGTGTCTGCACCAGTGTCTGCACCAGTGTCTGCACCAGTGTCTGCACCAGTGTCTGCACCAGTGTCTGCACCAGTCGTCATGTGAGTGGACCAAGGGTCATGTGGCAAAATGGTCTGTGGTGGTGCAACACCTACATGTCATCATGCTCCTGCCCATGGGCTCAACGGCATACAGTGGTTTACAACCTTTTTTTGGCTTGTCACCCCATTTTGATCATCACAAATTTCTAACGGCCCCTAGAGACATTTTTCTTCTACAATTAGGTTTTGATCATCTCTATTAAACTGAAGCCAGATTAGTGAAACATTACTCAAAGGACCTCATGTACAGTAGCCGTCACCTGTGCAGTCACATGATCACAGCCGCCAATCAAGATGTGGCAGCTTTACTGTAGGCTGCATTTATTTGAACTTTATTTATTTGAAAGGACACAGTCGTTTAAGACTGTGTAGTGTTTTAGTTAAAAAAAAACATTTGAATTCCAGGAGTCCCCTACGAGGGGTTGCAAACCCAAGGTTGAAAAACACTGGTTTAACATTCAACTCAAAGTAACTCGCTTTCCTTACAGACCTAACGTCCTCCTGACCTCAGATAAACAGGTGTAATAATTGTTCTACACAATGTTTAATCAAGGCTCCGTAATTTAACCTGTCTATGACATGGCAACAATACTGACACCAAAACAACACCTTCACTCTCATACATTAGATATTAATGTGTCATTTCTGTGAGAACACGAGGTCGGTCCTACCATCGTCTGGAAGGTGGAGTGAAGCTGCGTTAGAAACGGTGGTTTTCCAGCCAGCGCCAACACTCTTTTCTCCACCATGGTACACTCCACGTCATCATCCTGGATCACCACGTCCTTCTTCAGGATCTTCACGGCATACAGCTCCTCGGTGCCTTTGCGTTCGGCCAACATCACCTGGAGTAAAAGGGCGAGAGGCGAGGGTGAAGGAGGGGGAGAAGGGAGAGGAAATATTCATATCAGAAAAGTAGGAAGAGAAAGGAGCAGCAAATAAGTAAATCAGTTGTAATGCCATGATAATAGATGGTCAGAAGTTCACCAACCACAGGTCCCATTTGATTGTAGTGTGAATTTTGACCATTCATTTGCATATATATGTCCCTTGTGGCAATTATCTATGACACACAGTGTTTTTTTACTTTTTCCTTTCATGAATATTCCTCACTCTACTTCCTTAAATCTCCATTTCTTTCCTTTTTTTTTTTTTTTTAAATCTAAGGCCAATTAGTTCTGCCTCAGGTCTCAGCACATCGGCCTCCGCATGGAAGTGAGAGACGAAAAAGTAATGACCAGGTCAGGGCAGTTCAATCTCCCCGGTGAGTGTAAAGAGAAATATGTGAGTGAGTGAGTGCAGCTCCATGGTGTCAGTGCTGTGAATACGTTTATTCTCCACATATTAGAAAAGAGGAGTTTGGATGAAAAAGTTTTGCAAGGAAATAAAGTTTCTTTTAGTTTTCCAGTCATCATCATCATGATCATCATCATCATCATCATCATCATCATCATCATCATCAGGGAATTCCTTCCCAAGTCTGCTTCCTTAACCACTAAGCCACCACTGCCCCTTTTAAGGACTGAAATAACATTAAAATTTTCTTTGAATTTTGGGAAAAACAGGTAAAAAAAACCCTGTCACAAATCATCAGTAATTTCTCCATTTTGTTTTTAGTCAAGTTGCTCTAAATGTATTTTTAAGATTAAAACCCTGATTAAATTAAACACATGTCAGGTGAACATTAAACTCTGAACTGTTTGACTTACTCTTATATACAGTACAAACAGGGGAATCCTGAACTGATCTACAAAACTATCATTTTATTTCACCACAGCTCCTACACTTCTACAGTCCAGTCTGGTCCGTGTTCTTCCACTTGTCTGAAGCTGTAGCTCCGTCTTTTCCCTCTCATTCTACAACTATTAAAAACCTCTTTGCTGCTTATCTCACAACAACGGTGCAAACAGGGAAGAAGAAGAAGAAAAGAAAAACCAGCAGAATTTCTCCATTGTACGCCTGCACCGTACCGTGTGTGTTTGTAGATTCTACAATGCTAATTGAGTTCCGGGACTGCGACAAAGGAACTTTCATCCAATCGTATTTCACATATAAGCCTGTAATTATGTCTCACTTTGTTAATTTGCATAAAAAAAACACGAGGAACTCAAACCCGTGTGAGAGGAAGAGGAAGAAAAATTTGCAGTTCCCTTAGAGCTGCCACAGAACTTAATGGTTATGGATGGATTTTTATACAGAATTCCACAGGCACAGCAACACGGAGCAACTGAAGGGTAACTGAAGTCAGTGGACACGTCAACTGACACTCAGGTTAACCACTATAACCAGCAGTCTGTGTAGTAGTTATGAATAGTTAACTATGTTCAGCCTCAGTCAGAACAGCACAGACTGATGTGTGTGTGTGTGTGTGTGTGTGTGTGTGTGTGTGGTTAAAACTCAGCCAGCCTGGACTGCAGTGTGAAGCGACTTGCTCTGTCGTTGGGTGGTCACATATGGTGGCAGTGTGACTCTATGTAAATGTAAAAGTGTGAAAGAGTGGAATCAGAGGAGGAGGACACCATCTGTCCAGATCCCATTTTAAACAGTTCAACAACGAGGAGGAGGACACCATCTGTCCAGATCTCATTTTAAACAGTTCAAAAAAAAAAAAAATCATCAAAACAGACCAATGTGGGCTTTTAGGTTTCACACTGAACACTCTTCAATGTTTTCACTGACTCCTAATAACTCACAGTTTGATGGGTGAACACTTCATTACTCCCTTATTCCTCCCTAATGTTTAATCATTACAGCTCAATAATATCCAACACTTTTACTTCCTTCTTGGTTGTATTTGTGGAGTAAATGACATGATAAAGAACTCCAAATTTGATGTTTGTTGTTTTTTAAGAAAAATAATCTTCATTATTATTAAGAATAATAATCTTCATAGATTTCAGTCCCTGACAGTTTCTGCTCCGGTTCATGTGAGAGCTGCAGCAGTTTTAGTCCTGTGCTCTCATTGGTTAAGACCTTTGATGATGCCAGGCCTTAATCAGCAATGATTTAAAGCCATTGAGCAACAGATTAAAAAGAAGAAAGAAAACCTGTCTCTACTGTGATTAACATGTTGTTGGTATGAATTAACTCAAAACAATAATAACCTACTGTTATAAAAGTAGGTAATAAAAGTGTATTTTAATGACTGAGTAAAGCTAATAACCTACTAATAAACCAGTTCTTAACAGAGAACAGTCCAGAGTGAAGCATCAGCTGCGGTGTTGTGATGCAGATGTTCTCAGACACCGCGGCGGTCGGCAGCCGACTCCCCCACACACGCAGGAACCGTTCGAACACATGACGTGAACATGACGTCTGCCGGCGCCTGACTCTGTTCAGTCGTCCAATCAGCTGGTTTAAACCACACATGTGAGCGTGGACACTGTTGTGTACACACGATGGGCCTAAATCAAGTATCTGTGTAGCTGTACTGATGTCGGTGTGTGTTTTTGTGTCACTCCCAGGCTGCACACACATCCTCTGTTCCTACACTCACCGTTCACTCATGCATTTCTGAGCATGTCGACGATGCAGCCTCCACTCCGAGCTCCCCGACGTTACCGCATGAGTGTGGCTTTAAAGGCTCGTTGCCATGGAAACAGGCAACTAGCGTAGGTCTGGTGCACAGACAATGTGTTCCCTCTCTTCTTCTACTGCTGCTCCTCTGTCTCCGTCCTACTCCACCCCACTACTGAACCCATTCTTCATCCAATTTTCTCCCTTGCTCTCGCCACGTACCCCCTCCTCTCTCCCCCCCGCGCTCCTTTCTGCTTCCTGACTTGATATTCCTTCATTCACCTCAGCCATCACCTCACCTCTCCTCCCTCCGTGCCTCCTCTGCTTTGCTTTGATGCAGCCTGACATTTTTACTGCTCTCTCTATTCATTCACGTCAACCTCGCCGCCGTCGCCCCACATCTTTGACTCCCTATCCTTTCATCACTTTCCCCACTTGTCATGTCGTCCTCTTCACCCATTTCCCATCATCCATCTCTGTCTACCTGGGCTTTGTCTCCTGTAATTTCTGTCTATCTCTATCCAGGACTTCCCACCCGGTGTGGGCACCAGGGTCTCAGGTGACGGTTCAGTTCAGGGCTGACGTCACACAGAGACCAGGTTCAGATCAATCATCAACACCAGCCTCTGAGGTCTGATCAGATTCAGACAGCTGTCAGCTCCGTGTCATTAATGTGACCTTGGATCTGAGTGAAAATTGAAATAAAGTTTGCAGGTGGAGTAAGCACTTGTCATGCACTCAAGCATTTCTTTAATTTGCTGACATATAAAGATAAAGGCAGGAGATCCTAGAATCCTGAACTTTATTCCTAAACCTGACCATGAAATCTTTCAATTTTCCAGAGTCTAAGCCTCATTGAAACCAGCTTTTGGATTCCATTACGTTAACTTAAGTTTACTAAAAGACGATGACAGACATTGACATGTTCCAACCTTGCCGAAACTTCCTTTCCCCAGAACCATCAGAAAGTTAAAGTCAGACAGCTTCATTCGATCCTGGTTTCCATTGGAGTCGAAGCGTGACGCGGCGTTGGGCGACTTCCCCTCCGCGTTCTTGCCTGGACCAATCTTTGCTCTCTGGATTAGAAAAAAAAAACAAAAAAACAAAAAACAACAAAGGGACAATAATTAATGACAGAATTAAAAAAAAACAAAAAACAGAGGGATTATTAGGCCTGCCACTCTGGATCTGTAACAGCTGACCACTAAATGACCTCAGGTCCTGACCTGGCTTTAAATGTCAACATCGACCCGGCCAATAGAGAGTCTTTGTTTCTGTGACAAAACAAACGTGGTGTTTAAGTGACAGAATAGGCGAAGAAGGTAAAACCCTCAGTCTGTCCCCTCATTTCTCTTTCATTCTTCTAATCTCCTGCACAGCCACTTCACACTCTCCATTATAAATACAGTCTCCCTGTGAGGCTGCCGCTGGGCCAAGTCATAACTGTCACTCTTCCCTTTGTTTCTCATTTTCATCTACGCTCTCAAACTACATTTTGCTCCATCTCGCCCTCTCTCACCCTCTCTCTCTCTCTGTGAAATAAATTCCTTCTCCATCTCATCTGTATAAATTTGTCCGACTCTCCATTTGTTCACGTCTGTGACTTTTCATCTGCCACTGCTTACCACATATTTGTTCCCTTGCGGCGGGAAAAAAAAAAACAGTAACACTTTGTTAGCAACGACATCGTGGCTTTGAAGTAGCATCATTTTAGCAAAGTTAGCACTTTGGAATCGTTGAATGATTATTATCAGTACCTTAATCAGTCCCTCCTGTTCTTCAGTTTGAGGGTTTGATCATGGTCTGCTGTGACCGGTTGATCAAAGTGTTTGGATTAGACTTTAATTATGAACTTATTTCAGAAATGTCTTCAGCCAGTCTTCAGTTCCAAACTCCAACAGACTGGTAATAGACATTCAGCATGAACACATCTTATCTGAAATTGCTGATCCATATACAGCCCCCCCCCCCCTGCTCTTCTGTTCTGTACACTGGCAGTCATTTCTCCATCGTCTTGTCTTGTAAATTGACAGAGTGAGGCGCTGAGCTGCTGGATGTGGTGAGACGTGTGCACGTGTGGTGCAACATCTCTGGATATGAACAGATCCATGTGGTAAATACTGGTTTGGTCCAGATCTGTTGTCACACACACACACACACACACACACACACATGTACTGTGTGACTCTCATCTCTGACTGTAACAGTGATGTGGAGGTGAGGGCAAATGTATGAGGTTCAGGTGTGTGTGTGTCTGAGTGTGTGTGTGTGTCCAGTGACATGCATAATTAATGAAAGAGGACAAAATGTGTGTGTGTGTGTGTGTGTGTGTGTTCCAGGTGCAGGTCTGGAGGCAAACAGGTCACGTTACTGTGGAGATATGACTGCTGTCACTTTCTGTGTTCTCCTTTGTTTTGACAAAACTGTGTGTGTGTGTGTGTGTGTGTGAGAGACAGATCTGTGGCCCCCTGAGAACGTGTCTCAGTGAACGTCTAAAGACTGTGACCTTGAGAAGATGGAGGGGAAAGAAAAAAGATAAGGAGAGAGAAACACACAGGGGGGCAGTAAAAGTGACGGAGGACAAAACTGATAACTGACGGAGGGAGGAAGAGGAGGAGGAGGAGGAGGAGGAGGAGGAGGAGGGGGGAGCAAAAGTGATGGGAGAAAAGAAACATGTTTGTAGTATTAATGCAAAAATAATACAATTACAAAAAAATCTGCCTGACCAACGCAGCCTCCTGCACCGAGAACTGAAATGATATTAATGCAAAAATAATACAATTACAACTGAAATGTAAATAAATAAAATAATATGTTTAACTTCGTTCAGTCTTAAGTTGAATTTAAAGTTCAGAAGTTAATAAAAACAGACCATCTGGACCACAATGGAGAAAACAACAACAAGAAAAAAGAAAAACAGTTGTTGTTCTTAGCGTCCTGCAGCCGCTGACACTCACTACACTGGAAATGATTTAGGAGAATTATAACTCAGCCACTCCTGCATCTTTGTCGACTCAAAGCTACAGGAGCGCGGCGGTAACTGATGATGTGAATCATCCAGCCTGACCTCCTGAATCAGCCGCACCGCAGCCAAAGTGTCTGATCAGCTTTTCCCGTAAACACCGGCCGTAGACGAATTAACGGGACTGAAAATGAAAACAAAGTGAGTCGACGGAGCTGCTCAGTAAGTAAGAGCACACATCACAGCGTCGGCCGCTCTCACCAACCCCCTACTGGAGAGTGCGAGCTAAGCTAACTGTTGCTGTTGCCATATATTCAGTGAGCTGGGTTTAGTTTGCAGCTGCAGTGAAATGGGATGGAAACAAATGGACTCAGAAAAAAAACCCACAGAATAAAAGACAGGTTTTTCTGCTGCTCTGTGGCTGTTGGTCAGTCGGACAGACGGAGGAAGGAGGGAAAAGAATGAGAGAGAGAGAGAAAATAAAAGCCCTGTGCAGGGTTTTACCCTCCTGTGCCAAATGTGTTAATGAGTGGGCCTACTGGTCAGGCCCAGGCTCTCACACACACACACACTCACACACTCACACACACACGTCTGGACCTGCAGTGTGCCAAACCGGATGGCACTATAAGAGTCTCTGCCAAATGCTAACAGCTCTCCCAGAGAGGCTCTCACTCAGCCACATAAGGACACACTGTGCGCACACACACATATACACACACACACACAGATACATGTTTTGTGTTTTTGTGAGTACGTTACATAGACTTAATGCATTCCCTAACCCTTTACCCTGACCTTCAGGATCCCAAATACATTTCTGCCTAATCTTAATCCTTGCCCCCGACTCTAATCTGACTCCAACTCTAATCCTAATTCAAAGATAAATCTCGACTATCTCACTCAGTGGGGACCTGCAAAAATGTCTCCACGAGGACAACGTGTCCCTAGAACAATAGCACTTCTCCGACAGACACTACTTTTTCCAAAAAGCACAGCGACATCGCACGTCACATCAGCGACTTCACACGTCGACAGAAACAGAAGAGAACGAACCTCAAACTTCTGTCGTAGCTCCTCGTCGCCCTCCTCCCCCTCCGGGGGGACGGGGACGTTGAAGTACTCTCCTTCTTCCTGGGAGAGCAGCTTGAACCTGAGGAGAGAACATGTGAGGTCACATCTAATCAGGATTCATTTGCGGAATTATGGCGTTAAACTGCCGCCATTAGCTGCTGCCGCCGACCGGCCACGCCGTCTGATAGAGGTTTTAGAATAATCAATGGATCATTTAGCAATTTGCTCTCCTTCACGGTGAGCTAACGAGACCTAAAGTGCCTGTCATTTCACGATAAACAGAGGCATTTTCCACACTGCTCTCATTAAAACACATGCTCGACAATGTTTGTGTCGGTTATCGTGTGGTTCCTGACTCCATCTTAGGAAATAAATAAAATTTAATAGAAAAATCTTTTCTCAGCTGAAGTGAACAATCTTTCATTTAAAAGTATGTTTTGCAGTCAATACAGAAATGAGATCCATCCAGTACATACTGCAGCATGTACTTTTAAGGATCGAAATATGACACCGCGTCAACCGCCATAAATATGACACCATTCAGTGATTCAGATTCATTTGCACAGATGGAAAGTAAAAGCCCATCAAAGTCAGGTAATGCATTTTTCAGATAACAATTTTCCACAGGCTGTTGAGGTAAATGGACCTCATCCTGCTATTCGCACTCCACAATTCCATTAAGCTGCGGAGCAATTCACAGATATTAACAGATCCCTGTGCAGATAATTCCAAATGAGCCCCACAGAGAGCTCTGTCAACTTGGGGCTGTTGTCCGTAACCCTCCTGCACCCCCCCC